CCAGCCTGTACAGGTGCCTGGGGTTCTTCCGGCCCAAATGCAAAACCTTGCACTTTGCCGTGTTGAACCTCATTAGGTTCACCCGAGCCCAGCTTTCCAGCCTGTCGAGGTCCCTCTGAATGGCATCCCTTCCTTCCACCGTATCAACCGCACCACTCAGCTTGGTGTCATCAGCAAACTTGCTGAGGGTGCACTCAATTCCCTCATCGATGTCATTAATAAAGATGTTAAAGAGCACCAGTCCCAAGACAGACCCTTGGGGGACACCACTTGTTACCGGCCTCCACCTGGACATAGAGCCATTGACCACCACCCTCTGTCTGTGGCCTTTCAACCAATTGCTTATCCATTGGGTTGTTGTTTTTACATACACTGTCATCTTTCATTCATAAAATAGCTTAGGTTGGAAGGGATCTCAAAGATCATTTAGTTCCAACCCCACTGCTGCAGGCAGGGTTGCCAACCACTAAATATCAGGCAGTAGATCAAGATGTGTGAGGCCCCATCCAACCTGGCCTTAAACACCTCCAAAGACAGAGATCCACAGCTTCTATGGGCCAGCATCTCACCACCTTCTGAGTGGAAAATTTTTCCCTTGGCATCTAATCCAAATCTCTATTCTCTTCCTCTCTTGTCCTGTCCATCACTCTCTACTCATGTAGAAAATCGATTTCCCTTCTGTTCAGAAGCTCCATTTAAGTACTGGAAGGCCACCATGAGGTCTCCCCTTCTAAAACACCTTAATAAATCTGCATGAGTCAAATCAGGTAAATATCTAATGTTTCACGTTTAAATACTCACAAGCTAAATAGTATTTACAAATGCAAAAGCAAGGCTGAATCACTACAGAGAGTGGTATGGTGCTGTATTTAAGAAAAAATGCAAGTTTGTAAGTCAGAGTTCTACCAAAAATATGCAACCATCTGTTATTAATAGAGTCATGAGTGCAATTTTAATAGATTCTTCTTAATTTTTATTTCTATATTAAATATAGAACCATAGACAACTATGGTTTATAGTATAGTTAATTCAGTATATATTTAAAACATAAAACTGAACATCGAAAAGAGACTGTAATATGGAAGTAAAATTTTAACATCTGAAAGATAGTTCAAGAGACATAGCACCAATGATCTCACATACGAAACAGGAAAGACTAGTTCTTGTTATCAAAGACATTCCAACTTACATTTTCAGGTCCTTTAGTTCCCATGTAGAAGTGAACCATTGTTGATATGGCTTGCAGTGAAAGCAAGAACTGGCTCTGAAATACACAGATGTTGAATTACTTGAAGATACACACACAGATATACATACACAGTTCCTAAAGCTACAAAGCTATACTCACTTCCTCTTCACCCATTTTGGCAAATTCATAAAGAAAGGCAAAGTATTCTGTGAGATGTTTACTGTGTGGCTTAACGCCATGCTCCATAATAGACAAGAGTGTCTTCACAAAACGTGTCACACAAGAGCGACTGCCGATGTCTTCCACAGGACCATCCATGTCATCCGAACTGAAAACAGAAACCAAGTCAGACGTTTCACGCAATGCATGGAGCACACATTCACCTCAGTCTAGTCGTTTTCAGAAAACCCTACACTATTTCACTTTCTCCTAGTACGATATTCAGATCTCCAGAAAAAAACTGAGTTCTGTATTTTGACATAAAAACTCTCTTTCCACATCCTGAATTTTATAGCAGCAATATAGTTATTACTTGGGAAAAAGTTAACAGGATCACAGGCTTAAACCAAAACATCAAAGAAAAAGCACTGTCTTCTCACTATGCATCAAAAAGAATAAATGCTTCATAATTGCAGACAGAGCAATGATTTTGCCAGTAATTAGCAGAACAAAATAGAACCTGTTTTGTTCTTTTTTTCCTACTTTGTGATGACAGCTGATTTAGCTATACAACACAGAATTGGACTTTTAATTTCCTGTTCTGGATAATACAATGTATTATCAGATTCTCATGTGTAAGTAGTAAGATGTATAGTTGCAGGTTATTATTGTCAATGAAAGAAAGATCACACTGAAAAAATCTATTCTAGCAGAACAAATACTTAAAAAATTCTATCTACAGTATTGGCTTCCACAAACACAATAGAATTTTAAGTGAATCAGAGCATTTAGGGTAGAATAATAAACAACTGAAATCAAACAATTTTATGCTTACAAGACCATTTAGAATAATTCATTAAACAAAAAATGGTTGCTGTAATGTAAGTAATAAATAGAAGTTTTCAGGTGTTAGTATTTTACCAGTCTTCCACCCCTGGCTGAAGATAAAGATGTGCATGCACTGGTCTCAGTCTCTGTATCACATGAATGCACAAACGCTGGAACATCTGCAAATGATAAAATATATGAACTCTGCATGTTCATTCTTTTCCGTACGTGTCAATACATATCTACAACAACGAATATTCAGTCTAATACTTCTTTCAGCTCTAATTCATTCAAAGGTTATAGCTGAGATTGATGCACCCACATTCCATTCATTTAAGAGAATAGTCAAACCTGATTTCTTATAAACAGATCTCATTAAGAAGCCCTAAAACCAGTTTTTAATATTAGCGTGCTACTTGAACAGGACTTAGGACCTCTGCTCATAAACATTTTCTCTTCAATCTCTATTTTCTGAAACGTTTATGGACACTTTTAGCAATTTTTTTTTTATACAGCCTCTATCTATAGTGAGAAATTTTGCGTACGTTTTAAGGAAATTCCTTCCAGTCATTTCATTTATAAAAATTCACAAAGGATTAGAGCTTCACCTAAGATTCTGCATAGTGATTATCCATGAAATACAATGCTTTAATGATGGGTCGCATAAAGAAACTCTGTATGGTTCTATATGGAAACATTAATAATAATTCAAAGTTAAAACAGTTCAGGTGAGAAAGTAATTGCAGAAGCTCTTACCTGAACAACCAACAATGTAAATACACGTGTAAGTTAAACTATTAATATTAACTGTGAATATCCAAATACTGCTAACACACGTTTTGTGTTTTTGCATTCTTCAATTTTAAACGTTCCAGAAAGGTAAACAACAAAAACCTGTGACATAATGTACGTAGTTTTCTGAATGTATATCTTTAAACTTTGGTTTTGAATCAATTCAGAACGAAAACATTTTAATGTAAAATATTTTAAACGTTCAGTTTTGTAGAGATCATGTGGGAGCTGTAGAAATCTTAGTAAGTATCTGCTGTGACATTTTGTGACACTAACTACAAACATGGCACGATATTAAAATATATTTTGCTTCAAACAGTAATACTGCCATAGCTAAGTATATCCTGTAAACCATAAACAGGAACGAAAAAGACAACAATTATAGATATTAATGTAGCCTTTCCAAATCACTGTACTTGTCATAAAATTTGTCCATTTCTGCTTACTGATCAAGTAATCACCTGATTAGGAGCATTTTTTCTGTCTCACCTGTCTCACAATCTGATTGGGACACTTTATTAGAATCTGCATTGGCCACCAATCATCATCTGCCATACGATCCAAAAACCACTGCAGAAAACACATATTTTGTTAGTTTTGTTTCAAACTGGTCCTAGTCTGATCTTCTTTTTGCAAAATACTAAGTTTGAAGAAAAACTGGTGTTATGACTATTAAGGAATAAGGAATTATTAATACAAGGGAAATGTAAACATCTTCTGTGCATGCAAAACAAGGAGTAAGGATCAACAGAAACAAACAAAATTAAATCCAGTATCTTCTTATCCCTGTGTTCGTCACACCATTACGCAATTATCTGGAAGGAAATGCTTCTCCTAAAAACTCAGTTAAAGAATCTTGCTGAGTAGGGACAGGCTTAAACAAGAACACAGTTCCTGGTTTAGACCCCTTTTGCATTTTAAAATGTAGAAAAGTCTTACTATTTCTAGAGATAACAATAGAGTACGATACACTCAAAGTTGGACTTTGCAAATAGTACTTTGATTTCCATAAATTTATTTACAGGAAAATAACCTTGAAACAAAGAATTCAAGTTGCTGATATTTTATTTCAAATTCACTCAAATATTCTTTACTATATTAAATTTACTCACCCATTTTAATCATCACAAGCCTACATCATACTATGATTTTACTTTGTCTATACTGAATAAAGTATGCAACTAGGATACAGTATGCAACTAGTATCTTCCTATATTCAAACTATCACAATAAATCTATCACAAACTTTCTTCCAGTATCTCAAAAACAGTTTTCACCACCACAGTGAATTAGTGAATTCTTTGTCTGTGGTTTCTCATTTTTCCTCCGCACTTTTGCCCAAACTCTCTTCAGTCAGCTTCTGCATTTTTTTTTCCTAAAGATTATATATATATAACACATATATATTAACACATTGAGTTGAAGAGCCTCAGTTTTTTAAGAAGGGCATTGCATAAATTTCCACCTACATCTGACAAATACCTGCTTTTAACTCCCTTTTAAGCCTCTATGATGCTGCAGCCTTTCATCACATCCCCCTGGATTCAGTTCCACTTCCTTCCACTCTACTCACTAAGATTTACTCTGTCTTTCCAAATTCATTTTAATGCCTCTTTATTATACAATATACATCATACAATAATCAAATACAAAAGCTGCAATACCACATGGTCTGTCTTCCCAGTGACAAAAGGATTTTGACCTGTTGTCTCATTGCAGGTTTCCAAAAACAAAAGTAATTCCCCAGAATCTGCATTACCAAAGAGGTGGATTTCAGTTCATAGTGCGCAAATACGCCAACTGTGATACTTCATAGTCCAAAACATTCCAGAGATATGAATCTCCAGGAAAGTTAAACAATACATAGAAAGTTGGCTTGTACTTTGCTGAGTTCTAAGTCACTTACTTCACAAGCTGCCTGACTGTTATTAAACTGCTTTGTTAAAAGCTCAATCCACTGAAGCATTGTAGGCTGTAAAAAGAAATACAGAAAAAATCTTTAACTTAAAAATCTCTAAACACTCAGTTAGAACACTGAATTTTAAGCATATAGCATACATGCATGCAGCTACAAACCACTATACATATTGAAACCAATGTAAGTCACACAATGCTTAACTATCCACATATTTCCATTTTGTCATCATATTGGAATCTCATTCTTACAATGTGAGGCACTCTAGAATTAGTAATATGTCATAAAACACAGACGAGAAAATTAAAAGCCTACTGAGAATAAAAGTAGTTCAGAATAAAGTTTCCTTGCTGCTAACTACACTAGTTGTAACTAGCGTTTACAACTGCTGTTCAGTGACAAACAATGTCCTCTACATCAGACTTTAACAAGTACTTGCTAAATCATGAATCATCTATGAATTTAGAAATGAAAAGAACACAAGGTCTGTTGCTCCCAATGCTTTGCTGAGGCAAAGTAACCTAAATCCAGATCACACATTCTTCCACCGTGCAGTGTTAATTATGTTACACATTTTGTTTATAATAAAATGTGTTGAATGACAGTCTTTAAACATTTTTTGTCCACTGTACTCAGTACATCTCAGTATCACACTTTTACAGTGAAAAAGTACACTTTTCAGTATGTTCATGCATCTACTCCAAAAGAATTTACAAGTAAACAGAATACCTTTTCCTTTGAATGAATAAATGTCTCTAGTACAAAAGAAGTGCTTAACTGTGGGAGGAAAAAAGAACCATTAATCACAGAATACCCAAATTAAAATATAAATGGTATTCATTTTAAATAAGCAAAATAAACTTTTGAAGTATTTACCTTTGCTGTCATCAGGGAAACTGCTTTTGGATCTGGTAGCGTGCTTGGGATGCTACTACACAAATGCCACATAAACCTAGAGTCAGTAATTTTATTTGTTAATTTTAAAAAATAATGAAAATCTGCAAGAAGAAAAGAAGCATTAATATTACATTTTTAAAGAAAACTTACCCAAAATATGTATGTTCAAAAATGTTCTTGTCTTGAAGAAACTGCATGTTATCATGCCATATCCACTGAAGAAAAAATGCTAACATCAGATACAAGAAAGCAGTTTATTTCACTACATTAAGACTGATTCTAAGAATATTTAAATGTTTCCTGTGGATAAGAAATCAGTATTTTTTAAATGAAAAATTATTTTTAGAATAATTTATTCTATTTCAAAGGACTTGTTCAAAGTTGTTCTGTTTACACTACACCACACAGTAGTTCTGCCTGCTCTCTGACTGCAGAACAGAGCTCAGGATCTTTCCCTTGCTGTGATCTCATTTTCCCAACCAAATTACATTTTTAGGATGCATTTTTCAGAAGTGATCCAGCATCTTCATGAAGAACCACATCTCAAAACCGTATCTTGATATCTATGTTCATATAACAACTTAACAATAAAATTCCCTTAGATATGTAGTTTCACTAACTGAAATAAACTTGACATTCCAGTAGCTTAATCAGAACTCTGAGTAAAAATCTGACTCATCATTAACAGCAGAGATTTTTACAGTATGCCTGTTTCTCACTCAGAAATGATGTTTTTGACCAAATCTGTTTGTAGCATTTTTCACGTTCAAATGGTTTTAAAGTTTAAACCTGTTAAAATCTGTTACTGCTTTGAAGACTGAGAAACACGTCATGATTTTTTGGCTAACAATGAAGAATCTTTTGAAGTTAAGAATTAAACAGAACAAACGATATATCAATACTTCTGACAAGAGCATGCAGGGAATCTGATTTGCCTTTCAAGTGATAAAAAAGTAGAAGAATCCCTTTCAATTCCACACTGATGATAAACCTAGCACAGTGAGGTACCCAGTATAGTACCTTGCCCCTCTGCGCTGTCTTTTCCAGTTCCCCAGGCTATACATGAATAAATAGTGTCCTCATATTTATAACCAGGTATCCTAAGTTTGAGCAGTACTCAACACTAAGGAGAACAGGTAGATGTACCTCAGGAAGACATTTCTCCTACTCATTTTATTCATACCTGGGCTACCTTCTCCATGACTATGTGTAAGAAAGGAACCTTTTCTAGCTGATGCTCCTTTACCTTAAACGCAGTCTACCAATACTTTACAACCCACTATGAAAAAGTGTGAGGAAAAGCTGGAACTACTCTTGGAACTAATTACTGTTATGTCCTTCCTGAAAGCAGTTATTTGCTGAGAAACTGTAAGATAAAAAGGATGGTGGTTAATGAGAATACTTTCTGTACTGCTGTAAGTATTGAGGGAACACTGATATAAGCTCACAAAAACCAAACAGTAACAAAAAGCGTTTCACTTTTTTTTTTTTTTTTAGAAATATGAAGCAGAACAATATAGATGCTTGAATTAAAATTTACATGACAGAATGAGAAAGCACCTGAAATTTATATACAGCGTGAACTTTCATTTACTTCCAATTCAACAGCATTCTCCTGAGGACTACATCTAAATAAAAGGATCATCATTTTTCTGATTCCAATTTTATTTGTTTTCATGTTTTTACTCAGATTCCTGATTTGTTTAGGATTTCTTGTAGCATTTTAAAATTGGTGTCAAAAAAAATCAACTTGTACCTCCAGCAATTCCGAAGAAACATCAAATTCGTAGTCTTTGCCATTTTCCTCTTCCAGCTCCATCCGTTTGTAAAACAGCATGTAAGCACTGTGTGTCTTTAAGAAAAAAAATCTGTATAATTTTTGTTTTCAGAGAAATTATGGAAGTATAAATGTGATCATATAACACATATGGAAGAGAAATACCTTTTCAAAGGAGAAGTCCATAAATTTATCAGTAACAGAATCATATGTTTTTGTCTGCAAAGAAGAAAGTAACATTATTAAATACAAGCTTCTTTAATGATCTGGTCAATGACAGTCCATATAAATATGCACATGAACTACTTCAAGACAGCTGTAGAGGTGATGCTGACAGTTTATTTCTTGCAGCAAGTAGTCATTTCTCTTTTTTCTTCCATTGTGATCTACTATTTACTATGACTTTCAAAATTGCTATGCAGTATTTTGGCTTTTTCAATGCAACTGTCTTATCCATCTCACTGACACCTCTTCCTTCCTGGTTCCTAAAAGGTATTTAATCCCTTTGCCAAATCAAAACAATTTTTTTCTTAAATTTATTTATTTCAGCATACTGTTTTTATATGGAAAGAGGATTCTGAACCATTTTAATAAGAAACTGCATTATTAATGCTTTTATATAATTATATATAGAAATTTAATTTAAAAAGTTATCAATTCAAGCTGACTCTGAGAATCAGTGTTGTTTTACAGTTCTCTGCATTACTATGTAAAAATACTTAGGCTGATGTCAAAAGGTGGTGAACTGATGCAAAATACAAAGCTGTTACTGTATTAAGAAACCTTGAACTACCGAAAGCAAATACCAACTTAAGACATTTTATCTTCTTGCAATAAAAGGAACAAATAAAATCACTTAAACTTGCGGATCCACCACTCTGAAAATCACTTAATATTAAAACACTTAATAGAGTTCAAACTTTCCAATCAAACAACAGTATGGCTATACAGAATTCCAAAAGATTTTTCAGCTCTATCATTAATTAAGAAGGATCTGATTGCAAGAGGTTTACAGATAAGAATTTGGAAATTACTGAAACAAGGCACACACAAAGACAAAAAGCCTTGCTTTTCCAGTAACTATTCCTTCACTTAATAGCCTGAGTGACAAAACCACACTGGAGAAGAATTCCTGAATTAGCTGCATACTCACCTTTTTTAACAAGCAAATAAATAATATGATAAAAGTGGATACAGTAGAAGAAATAGCTAAATTCTCTTCTTTGGAGAGAGATTTCACTAATTCATTTTGATTAATGAGTAATACATTCACAAATTCAATAAGATATTTATGGGAGGAATTAAGACCCTTCTCCTTTATTGGTTTAACTTCAGTCATACAGAAAGGGAAGAAAAAGGAGAGAACTTGCATGACTAGCCTGCAAGTATTCTGCAGAGTTTTTCATTTCTGAAAGAAGAACACCCTTTGAAGAGATCAGCAGTGAAAGAACAACTGATATAAACAAGCATAACTTAGTATCACTTGCACAACAAAGATGTCAAAAGTTTTAACACAACTCAGCTTAAACTTCTATTTTCTCATACATTCCAGAACAGATGGCAAACCAGAGATGAACACTACAGATTACTTCATGAAAGTCCTCAGAACAGACATTCTAATGGTTGAACATGACAAAGACAGAAGTCATAACTTACAGTCATTTCTCCACCAAAACATTCTGAGGCAAGCTGTGTTGAATCAAATGGTTTTACTTCAGCATCGTTGAAAAGATACCTATAAGAACAGCAAGCTTTTGAAACAACTGTTGTTTGTTTCTCAGGGCAAATGAGAGTACAACAAAGAAAGTGATGCTTCAGGTTAAGCATTTTTCGGAATTTCTACTACTTAGCTCAAATCACAGCAAACTAATAAGTGATTCCCAAAGTGACCTTTTTTCAATAAGGGCAGGAAGTCAGTATTTCAACAGATGTATTTATTTAACTCCAGAAACACATTATTTTCCACTTTTTCCGAATATGACTGGTAGAAATAAAGTTCTCACGCAGTCAAAATTTGCCCTTACTTTTTTAGATTGAGCAAAATGGAAATAAAAAGAAGAGAATCATAGAATTTATCAGTATAACTCTAATAGAAGGTGGCGAAGAAAGACTGTACAGAATTATGGATAGCCTTTTGAGCAGACATCAGCCACCGTCTGGAAATTTTTCAAAAAATGTTCCAGCCAGTTATTAAAGAGAACAGGAAAAGAAGAAGTCTCGTCTTTTGTTGCAGGGCCGCAGCTGAGAGTCTGAGATATGAACATAAGCATCTTCCATACAAGATGCAGCGAGTTTAAAGGGAAGAAAAATTAAAATTGTTGTTTTAAACTACAGAAAATGGACAAAATTAAAAGGAACAAAGACTGCAATCATTAATACTGCTATACATTCAGAGGTAACCCCTTTTATCATGAAGGGTTATCTATTAAATCTTACTGTTCACACACACTGAAATAGACAAAATAGTCATTGATACTCATGTGAAAAACCAAGCACTGGCTATATTGCAAGCCCTAGCCTGGTATTCTCTTGCTGCCTGTGGCCAAGGATCACCACAGTTGCTTCCACTACAGCACACAAACATGTATATGTAAATCAGTATACAAATACCTAGCAAATTCTAAAAACTTGTGCTCTTGAAAAGACCCACACCACATAGGACACCGTTGACAAAGTCAATAATTTTTAATTACTTCAACATACAAAACAATGAAATTTAGCTTTGCATAACTCACCATTTGTTGTTTTTGTAAGCATGGGGATTTACTATATCTCTGATGAAACTGTAATAATGTCCACCATCTGCTGTTCCTGTATGAACTGTTACACCGATGAGATCATACTCATAACTCTCTGTTTCTTTCAAATATTCACCGTCTTCCTTAAAACCTTAAGTAATACAACACCGAGTATTATTTCCTAAGCATATGAGTTTCCATGTTAGTATCTTACATAAACATGTCCCGCAATTAACTTAAAACTCGTCCTAACCTTTCAGCAGGGTACAATGACAGCCAGAAAATCCATATCCAGAACAAAGAGTATAGATCTCAGCTCCTTGTTTTAAAGGAGCTTTAAAAACAAGGGTTTTTTTGCAAAGCATCACTATACTAAAGAGATTGGAACTAACAAGTTCGCACACCATGATTACAACGGTATCAGTCAGCCCTTTCCTGAAGTTCAACCATTACTCTGAAAAATCAAAATAGGCCAGTAATAAACTGAGCACATATATTTGTAACCACCCCGTATTTTAAAACTGAACTTAATAGTTCAAACTGAACTGCACACGAAAGCAAAAATAATTAACCAGTCTTTTTGTACTAAAGAAAATGTGTGCCTTTCAGAATATAGGTCAATAAAAAAACTTCTGATTTTCTTTTAAAACATCTCAATTGTCCACAAACATTACAATTGTAGGAGGCATACCTTCTTTCCTGTCATTTTTTCCCATGAGGAAATCTTCAGTATAAGGTGTCATATCCAAACGCAGAGGGAATGAAAAATGAGTGTTCACTTTCTCCTTCATCATAGTTACCATATTAAATGTATATCTCATAGTGTTGAAGCTTAAGATACGAGGTAGTTTCTTAAAACATGCCCTAAATGATTTAAAGCAGTTGTGATTTAGTTGGTTGAACTGTATTTCCACAAAGATTTTCAACACATTTATTTCAAACATGAAATTGGAAATCTGTTAAGAAAATCACGTACATATAAAGTTCAGCAATTTTAACGCCTTACAGTAGGGCAGTAACTGGCAGCAGAAATGTCAAATTGAGCTTACTGAACAATTTCATTTAGCACTGTGCCTTGGAAAAGGGATTGAATTTGCTCACTGTGTGTTTTCTAAAACAATATAGTAAAAGGAGCCATGAAGGAATTTAGCAGTGCAAATCTCCCTACCAGATAGAATTACTATCCTGCCACTGACAAGTTTCAACAAAGAACGTACCTTCTATTATACCTCATAAACTTTTCATTACTGATTTCTAAGCAGGTCACTTTCACTTTATAACAGCTACAAAATCAACTACGAGTTTTTTCATCTCGAAGAATTAAATTTTGTTAGTTGCAGTAAAAGGACAAGGCAACATTTTTATCTCCCTGTTCATTAGTAGACTGTAAAAATTTTTTATACATTTTAGAATACCTGTTTTAAACTAAGAAATACAGGGCTACTATGAAACTTGCAGTTATCCTGCATAATGAATAACACAAACACTTTTCAACAAGAAATGCTGAAATAATTCATCTTCTAAAAATTGGAAAAGATTTACAAGTTACTGATTTGACATATTTAGAATAATAGAACAGTTTGAGTTGGAAGACACCCTTTAAAGATCATCTAGTCCAACTTCCTTGCAATGAACAGAGACACATGCAGTTCCATCATGTTGCTCAGAGCTCCGTTCAGTCTGATCCTGAGTATCTCCAAGAACGGGCATCCACCACCTCTCTGGTCAACCTGCTCCAGAGCCCTTATTGTACAAAACTTGTTTCTTATCTCATGTCTAAATCTCCCCTAGAGAGTTTTTCTTTTGATAAGCCCATACCCTTGGATTTTGTAATATTCTAACAGTCTCGTATTGCTGCTTTTAAAAAACAATTCTTTGGATACACTTCATACTTTTCTGATGTATTTTAGAGTATAACCTGCAAACACTTTGAGCTCCTTTTCTTCCCCCTCAGCCAATTAGACACAATGCTGGGAGTTCTGGCCTAGAGCTTTTGCAAGTCACAAAGCAGTCATTTAATATTTCCTGAGCATACACTTCCAGTAATCTCATTCTATTCCACAAAGGTCTTGAACATTTTGCTGTCTAGCAGATCATCTTATAAGATGCCTCTGTTTTGAAAATTTGATTTCTTAGGTTCGTTCTCATTTTGCACAAGGACCACATCCTTACAGGCCTTCACATTAGTAAAATGAGTGAAACCACAGTCTGTTTCATCTGAAGAATTAATCTAACAGGAATGGTAATCTCTGCAATTTACTAAAAAGAAACATTAGGACTATTTTTCTTAATCTTACCTTTTTTCAGCCCGCACTTTTTTCCCACAATGAGAACAGGTATACATGTTATCACCTTCCAAGGTATCTTTAATAGTTACTTCATCAAGAGATTCCTACATATAACAACAAATTCAGAAGGAGGTTATGTTTATTTCAGATATTATCTCTTGTGCTTACGTGGCCTGCTTTTCAAAACCTCTCTCCTAGTCTTAAAGCAAGTTTAATCAACATATCCACAAGTCATGAAATAAACTCATCATATGCAACAAAAAAGGAAGAAGAAAAAGCATGCGACTGAACTTTTCTGAAGAGTATGACATTATTATGGAAGATCAGTTCCTCAAAACCCAAATACAAATTTCAGGAGAAAATTCAAATAAATGGTACTCAATATTCTGAGCTTTCCCAAAGAATTCAGGTGCTCTAACTCCAAATTCCAAGTGTAAGGATTAAAATAGTTATTTAAAAACCCCAATAACCTAAGATTAATATATAAATATTAAATATAATATATAATATATATAGTATATATAAATATACTCAATAAATATTGAGTATAAATTCTCAATTAGCTTAATAAACAGAACATACTAATAAAATCTTTTGACATTTACAATTCTCATACATTTTTCAAACACAGAAGAAAGTATTGCCAGTAACACAGTCTTTATTCCATTCCATGAGCACACTGCACTGAACACATGAAACAATTTGACTGAATCACCTCCTCATATCAACCTAGAAACACCTAAACTACAGCACAGAAAAAGAAATCATCCACATGTCCAATATGAAGTTTTCTATTACGCTTTTACACTTGCCATCTATTTTAATCCATCTGAACCTGACATTACTTACGTAAATATTCTTCATATCTGCTACCTGGCATCTTACTGTATAGAACTCTTCAGCAGTCTGGCTTACATGTTCACAGTCCTAAATCACAGCAATGCAAGAGCAACACATGAAATAACTGTATTGAGAGGCTAAAAGTATCTTGAAAACATATGGACAGGGAAAGATTACTTACCAAGGAAACAACATTGTTTGTGATAACACCTCCAAACAAACTTTTCACTGTGTTTTTCTGTGAATGAATTAATAAAATCTGTCAAGGATATTTGAACAAATCCGTAACTTTTTAAGTGCTCTTTTGCTACCTCTCAATAACTCACCAGTTCTGGAGACATCTCTTCTATTTTTGTGATCAGGTCAGTGAAGAATTCAGTCATATCTTTTTGCTCTCCAGTGTTCAGTGGCTGCTTATCCATGGTATAAGTTTTACAAAAAGGCCGTGGATTATATGCTTTACATTCACTTTCCTTTAGGTAAAAAAAAATATTAAACAAATCAACCACAAATCCTCGTACTTTCACATTACACAGATATACCAAACACATGCATACAAATGTCAGTGTACATCTCATAGACAACAAAGTTATCTAAACGTTTAAATGCATCTGACAAATGGTAAAACAATTTTAAACTATCATCATTATGATATTCATTATTAATAAAAATAGTATCAGTAAAATATAATCTAAAATACTTAATAAAGGAAGTCACCATTAAAAAATCCAGACTGAAGACACGGCACGTTCAGGTCTTTACCTATCTGCTCAGATACAATAAATGGTACTATAAGCATCAGACAGTACCTATGGATTTCAGAACACTGGACTTAGATCTTGACAGATGTTTAATTCTCATTCAGCTGTTTCCATAATACAAACTACATCTAGTTACCCAGTGCAAGAGATCAGTTAGAGAAAAAAACTTGAATTCCAAACAGTTGTTCTATAATGCATTACCCATTCCAATGTCTTGCATGCTGCAGATACAGAACCAAATTACAGCAGATTATTATCCTTGCAAACCTGACAGACCTATTATTTTTGTTAAATCACATGTGGCCATACGGTGTTTCCTGTTAATATTACCAGGTTCAAACTAAGTCCTTTGTAAAGATATAAATAATAAATCCTCAGCAATCTAGCCATGTACGATGGAGTAATGGCATCAGTAGACAAAGCAGAATGAGGAAGAGCAAC